CGGGCCTCTGCCTGGGCCCGTCCCGTCTCTGTGACCCCAGGGCAGGAAGGCCAGCTCTGACACTTCTCCATGTCCCAAATGGGAAGCCTGCTCCTGCATGTCTGCCCTGCGTCTTCCCTCAGACCCAGCGTTGACCTAGACCTCCCCCATGACCCCCGTCAGGGCAGATAGCCGCCCTGCACCTACCTGAGGAGGACAGAGCCTCCCGTCTCCCTGTGTCTCCTGCAGACGCCTCCCAGCCCAGCACCATCAGGAACGAAGGGTCTGGCGGTGTGGTTTACAGTCCCTGAGCCTCTCACTCCGGTGGAATGTCCCTCCTGCCGCCTGTGTGGCCCACGTGTCTCAGCGAGGGCAGCAGGCCAAGGGCAAGGGGTGCCCAGCTGGGCCGTGCAGGCTGGTCCACGTGCCGCAGTCATGGCTGCCGGGCACCCTGTGACCATGCTCAGTGTCACTCGTGTCAGGCTGTGCCTAAGCCTGAAGCTAGCCAGCATCTCCTTGAGAACAAACAGCCAACAAGGCCTCTCCGTCTGTCACAAGCACGTCATCACTGGGGCGTCAGAATAACAGATTCCACAGCCAAGGAGACAGGCTCGTGCAATCGATAACCTGCAATGACGCTATGGACGCACAGCTACATATGGACCAGAAGCCATCGTAATGCCCCGGGCCTCAGTCTGCAGGACGAGAAGCGGTCACTCCTGCATCCCTCACTTTGAAAAACTAAGGACTCTATTCTGATTGGAGAATGGTTTTCTCCAAAGATACACGCTGACCCCTCACGATGAACGGCCAGCAGTGACCAAAGCCCGGGCACCGACATCACATGGAAGCTTCCAGGGACCTTTGGGTGGGTTGGCTTCAGAATCAGGGCGAGGGGCCAGCACCACTCATGTCAAATATGACGCCCTGGCCACACAGGGTCACTGAGGCTGGCCACACTGGGAGGGGCAGGACGGAGGCCTCAGGGGTCCATGTTCTCTCACCCGCCTCTCCTCAATGGAGCTCAAACAGGAAGCAGATAGCAGGAGGAGAGCTCCCACCCAGGAGGGGACCTAGCGGGGGGCGGCTCCGCCCACATGCTCCTTAGCCAGCATTTCCCTTCTCCAGCTACACAGCGGAAGGACCCACTAACCAGGCGACCTTTGGTGGGGACAGCCCAGCCCCCAAACCTGGCTCCAGGCCCCCAAGAAAACACCACCCTCCTCCTCTCCTTGCTCTCGGCCTCAGCTCGTGTGAGGTACGCTAAGGGCATGTCAATCAAGGAAACTGTCTGAAAATCGTTCACTCTGAAGAAAGGTAAGTCCCTTATTCCGGTCCCCAGAGTGCCTCTCAGGCTGGCTTCTTTCCCTTCAGAGGGTCCTTGCTAAGCATGAGACACAGAAGCCGGTACTGCCGAGCAGGAGACAGAAGGAGGTGCCCACATCAGGAGAGGGGTGAATATTATCACCTCACTATCCTGAGTGGGCCCCTGGACGCCAAGGCAAGCAGCTGGACTCCCACCTCCGACTGAGGGACACCCCAGCCTGGCCTGGGGCCCAGCCTCTCTGGCCTGGTGAAGAGACCGTATTTTGCTGTGTATAACGCACACTTTTTTGCCAAATTTGTGAGGAAAAAATAAGGGTTCACATTATACGTGGGTAGTTCTAATTCTGTACCTATATAAATGTTTTTAATTCTTTTATTTATGCTTATGAGTTAAAAGTGTAACTCTAGAAATCAATAACGATATCCCTGTGCAAAATAATACCCTGGAATACGATAATGGGTTTTGCTGAACTTACGACAAACTTGCAACAATGAAGAGTTCTTGGCCTTCTGTAAAGCATAAATATCATAAATTTGTTACCGGTACATAACATTTCTTATACTTTGTATCTCTTCTTGTGTTTTGTAATTATTTGTTCCAGAAAATTTCTTGTACCATAATGTTAAAAAATAAATGCTAGGCCGGCCGAGTGGTGCGATGGTTAAGAGCTGGCTTGGGACGCCAGAGGGCCCCAGTTCGGATCCCACATATGAGGGCCAGTGACACTGCTCTCTACAGCTGAGATGCTGAACAACAGCTCAACCTGGAGCTGGGCTGCCGTGAGTCGCCGGCGACGGCGTAGGCTGCAGCCCCTGCTGCAGTGGGTTGCCATGGGCNGCTGTCGGCCCCTCCCCCGCGGAGAGCAGTGCAGGAGGCGGTGCTGGGATGGCGGGGTTCAGCAAGAGGCCGAAAGATGTCGGGTTCCTGGCTCTGAAAGTTTGCTGGAACCATGTTGGGTCAGTGTCACACAATATAGTCTCACAATAAAAAACAGAAATCAATGGACCAAAACAAACAAGCAGCACCAGACCAGGTAACTGTCATCCCCAGAGGCAAGCAGGCTCAGGCACAGCACGGGGTGCTGGCAATCCAGCAGCAGCAGACCTGGGACCCAACCCAGGCTACACAGCTGATCCGGCTGGTCCCCTGAGCGAGCAGTGCTCCTCAGAGGCTGGCAGACCACCTGGGCATCCCAAGAGGATGAGATGCTTCCAGACCCCGACTCACAGTGGGGACCCACAGGCTCCACAGCCCTTGCCTTCCAGGGGAGACACTGGGGCACCTTAAGTCCCAGTGTGCACACACTGAAATACTCTCACGTCCAGCAACCCTCGTGTCACCATCCCTCTGTCACCATGGTCTCTGGAGCACAGCCCTCAGCACCAGGCTGACTGGCACCCGGCCCCGCCCACTGCTTGGGCTGGGAATGACGGATGGAGACAGAACCCTGGGCCACACTGGACGATGCTCACTCACCCAAAACCCAATGGGTGAGAACGGGCACACTTCACCTGCGGGCTGCGTGTGGCCCTCTCCTGCACGACACCACATCTGAAAGTTATTCTCATCTCACTGCTAAGAACTCCCCACAGACTTAACCGTGTCAGACTATGAACGTTATTGCCTCGAAAATGTGCTGTCAGGAAACACTTCCTTGTCAAATGTCTAAAAATTGGGATTGAGTGTTAAGAGCTTGCTCAAGAGTGCGAGCTCTGAGCAACAGGGTCGCCGGTTCGATTCCCAGCCTGAGCTGAGCTGCTGCTGAGCTGGCAGGATGGCTCAGCTAAAAAAAAATAAAAAATAAAGGGCTGGCTGAGTGGCACATTGGTTAGGAGTTGGCTTGGGACGCCAGCTCTGAGCAGCAGGGCTCCGGTTCGGATCCCACATGAGGGCCAGTGATGCTGCGCCCTCTACAGCTAAGATGGTGAACAACAGCTCGACCTGGAGCTGGGCTGCTATGAGTCCCCAGGGACAGCATAGGCTGCTGCCCCTGCTGCAGTGGGCTGCCGTAAGCTACCGTGAGCTGCTAAGAGCTGACGTGAGTGATCATCCAATGGCCGGCGACCAATTGCCTCACCCGGGAAGAATGCAATGATAATACCAACATGGGCCAGTGAAGTGACATCCTCCACAACTAGACTGAAGAACAAAAGAACAGCAACTTGTCTGTTCCCCTTCCCCGATTCTCCAACACTGTTCCCTCCCCCAATTCCCCAATAAAATCTTTTAAAAATAAATTAATTAATTAAACTAAATAAAAATAAATGAATAAAAATTGGGATTGAGTGGTAGCCTGCCACCATGAATAGTTCCCAAAAGTCGACACATCAATGACCATAATTCTTTCTGTCAACAGGAGAAAGCCTATGGCCAGGCCAAGTCGCTTCAGAGAGGGTCACAGTGCCATGTGGCAGCCAGGACCAAAGGTGACTTATCCGAACAATCAGCAAAACGCCCACACAGCTGATCACAGACAGATGCCACAATGTCCTCGCGCAGCCACCCGTGTGCAATGCAGTGCAAACACACTTATCGACGCTGATGTGGGGCGGCTGGGACCGGCACTCCTTCCCGGCTGAGCAACTGCACAGCACACACAGCAGCACGAGGGCGGGCCGGGTGGGCTGGGTCATGGACAGGCCTGTCTGCCCTGCTGGGCCGCAGGACTCCACAGACCCCGTCTGGATGTCTGCCTGCTCCCAGGGCGGGTAACACGAGAGGGACACGCCAGGCAGGCCAAACCAGTGATGGACTCGGCCAAGAGCCTGCAGGGACGCAGCTGAGGACAAAGCAGATGGGGGGAGGGACAGAGACAGGTGACACTGCCCGAGTCCCCCTGCACTCCATCAGTGGACCCCCTTTTATTTATCGTGCCACTGAGGGAACAAGTGTCTGTCCCTGCGACCAAATGACCCCACCTGAGCAGGCAGCGCCCCTGCGTGACAGCACTTCTCTCTGCCACCCCCCGAAGCCTGCAGAAGGACCGTAAATTCTGCGACGGACCGCCGCTGCCCAGGCCACCCTCCCCCTGCGAGGCAGTGCCGTTCCCAGCCCCGTCACTCCTCTGTTATTCCAGCCGGGCTGTGTAAAGGGACTGAGCCATCTATTGAAGTTTCAAATAACTGAATTAGAACAGGCCCCCAAGCCTCCCTCTAGAGCAGCGGTTCTCAACCTGTGGGTCGCGGCCCCTTCGGGGGTCGAACGACCCTTTCACAGGGGTCGCTGAAGACCATCAGAAAACAAAAAGATATTTACATTACGATTCATAACAGTAGCAAAATTACAGTTATAGAGTAGCAACGAAAGTAATTTTATGGTTGGGGGTCACCACAACATGAGGAACTGTATTAAGGGGTCGCGGTATTAGGAAGGTTGAGAGCCGCTGGTCTGGAGTCTTCCTTCGTGCTGAGCTGTAGTAGCCACTAGCCACCTGTGGCTGCTTAATTAAAATTAAATAATGTTCGCAGTTCAGTGCCTCAGTCACACTGGCCCCATCGGAAGTGCTCGACAGGCACACATGGCGAGTGGCTACGTAGCTATACAGGCCATGTCCACCATGGACCACAGGACCGTGGTGGGGGGAGGTCCCTTCTCTACAAAGCACCTGTGTGCCCCAGAGCCGTTTCCTCTTCCTCCAGCGAGCAGGAAAAGCCGTCCCAACTGTACTCGACTCCGTTCTATAAATGTAGACCGAGCCGGACCGCCTCCCGTCCCAGTCCCCAGGGAGTTGTGAAAACGCCCGATGTTCCCTCAGAACTTCCCCCAGGCTGCCTTCCTCCTTTCCACGACTGCACACTGCTTGGCAGGGAAAGCGATGGGGGAGGAGGAAAAGGAGGCA